CGCTGTCATTCTCCCCTATATATATATATATATATATATATAATCAGAAACCTCAACCCTAAAATTATTCAAATTTATATATATATATATATATAATCAGAAACCTCAACCCTAAAATTATTCAAAGCATCTCCTTGAGGGTGTAGACTTGTAGTGGTGTACTAATCCAACAATTTAATTTAATTTAATTTATTAATTATTCAAGCATCGTACTCGTAGATTGAAATGATTCGTTTGGTTAAATCAAGTTTTACATTTTGACAGATAAAATCTTGTGCTATTTAAATTTTAATGGCTTCTTTTAGTGTTGAGTTCTTCAACTTGTACTGAGGTGAGGTGGGCATTAAAAATATGTATCTTGTATTTTTGTATGTGTCCTAGTTTCTTCACATTACAAGAGCACTTTATACACTAAAAAATAATTATAAAGTTATTAAAGTCCAAACCGGCAAGCTGGACAAAGGAACTCCAAGCACGTGAAGTTTTGTGTTCGACTTTAACTGAGGTAGTCAATTCGAATTTAACCTGTGACTTCTGTGTGTGTGTGTGTATATATATATATATTCTATATCTATATGTCGGTTAAATATATAAATCATATACCACACCTATCTAAAATTCCATCAACCACCATGTCATATATTATCCTACTATTTTTTTTTTTTTCTTTATGTTTTACGTTCTTAAGGAGTTTTAAAAATTATGTCAATAATCAGTAGTGACACAGGTAAATTTTACGAGAGAGAGAACTAATTATTTTTCTGTACAATACTAGTAATTGCCACTTCATGGTTTTAGTGATTGTGATGGTATTTATTTTTTGTGCCTTGAAACAAAGTTGAATTAAAAAATTTACGCTTTTTAAAATCAAACAAGTTTACAATACTAATTGTTTAGTAAGAAAATTACATGAACATAAAAAAAAAAAATGCATGAGAAAATCGTCTATTATTAAAATCTTATCAGATATGTAATTACTCCAATATATTATTACATTATCCAGGAAAAATGAAGAGTGAGTAAATTCCTATAAAGAGACTCAAGTGAAAAAAATAATAATAAATAATAATAATAATAATAATTCAGAAAAAAAGGGAGTTTTTTCTCACCTCATAACACTACGTTTTTCTTTTTAGATGTTCTTGCATCAAATAGGAGTCAGAAATTCAATTCAGGGGCACAACACAATGTTAAAAATAACAATTAATTAATTAATTAAAATTAGTGAAGATAACAAATATGGATTCTTCAAATCATGAGGCAAATAGAAAAAAGTTATTGCAAAATAATATGATAATTAATGAGTAGTATAAAAAAAAATTATTTATTTGACAAATAAATATCTAACAAATATAAGAAAAATAAAAGAACTTAGAAAGGGCAAAAAAAAAAAAAAAAAAAAAAGGAGTTTGATTTGAAAAAGAAATTTTAATTTTTTGTAAGGAAATTAAACGAATTTAAAGGATAAAAGAGTAAAAATAAAAAATAAAAAATTAGGAGATCAATTTAAAAAAATAAAAAAACTTTAGGGGGCATTATATAAATTTTTCATATATAATGTAAAATATATATATATATATATACAATATATATTATAGTGGCCGAGCCAAGCCAGACGTCACATGCCCCACTAGGCATTAATTGGCTTCGCCCTCTGGCACAGATCCTCTAATGGGCACACCACGGTACTACATATTATATATGCACAAGGTTGGGTGGAGATCAGTACTTACATATGGGGTGAGTTCTACTTTGTTTTTGAGACCATACCATATGTGAATGATCTCCGACCTTCACTTATGTAGAGGACTCAATCCTCTCTAAGAGGGGCGGCCTGGAGATTCTCAATTTTTGAGAGGTCCTAAACAAATTTTTAAATGGCACGCCATTTATACGTAAGGTTTCGCAAGTGCAAAAAAATTATAAGAGTGCGAAATTTTTATTAAAATGAGACAATTAGCACATAAAATATATTAATACTGAACATATACAAAATAAAACTCGATCTTCGTGCTTTATAAAGGGCACAATATAATTTAAATCAAAAAATTAAAAGAAAATATTCAAAATAACTTAGTCACAAAAATTAAATGTTCAACTAAACTCTTTTTGTTTGTATTGCTCAAAAACTTATGAAAAGCTCTTTTTTAAAATTGAATCAATTCTTCTTCTTCCTTTCATTTTTTTTTTATGCCAAAATTCAAAATTTCTAGCGGACAAAACTGTCATAAAAATGCAGAAATAGAAATTATACAACAGAAAAATGTCAAAAACGTTGAGAGATAAAAAAAATAATAATTAAAAAAAAAAAAACAAAAAAAAAAAATTCACAATCAGTTTGAAAAGGACAACAAAAAACGTTTAAAAAAACTCACAACCTGTAACGAATAGAACATAAACACAAGAAATAGAATCACTAAGGAAGAAGATCAGAGACAGAACAACAACAAAATTATACTTCAGAATATTAAAACAAATTATTTAATCAAACTCTAGATTCCTACAACTCAAAGTCATAGTATGAACTTCATACAACTCCAGATTCTGCAAAATAAACTTCAAGAAAATGAAGTTATATTGTTATTGAACAGCAAAAAATATATATACTAAACAGAGAGAAAAGTTGGAAAAAAGGAAGCACACCTTTGACAGTTTGACTTTGAGTTGTGATTGAGCGAGCTTTGGAGCTGTTGAAGGAGGAGTGAATCGGCAAACTTTCGCTTTGATATTTGAAGCTGAATCCGAATGTCTAGGGCTAGTTCACGAAAGAGAATAAAAGAGGAGAGTAAGGTGCCGTTTGATAAAACTGAAAATTAAGCACGAAAAGTTTCAAATACTAATTTTAAGCGTTGAAATTTTAAATACTGAATATATTAATCGGTAAACTTGTTTGATATTGTATTAATTTTAAGTGCTGAATTCATTAAGATTATTTATTAAATGCAAAAACTAAAATCTGAATATTGTATATATTACATTTTTGCCTTCAATATCTTCTATATATAATATTATTATAAAATATGCTGTATTAAAACATAAACATATGGATAAGATAATGAATTTCACCAATAAAATATATTAATTTAACAATGGATATTAATCTCAAAACTGAGTATAAAAATTCAAAATCAACATATAAAATGAATAACTTATGAAAATGAAATATTTAGGAGGAGATTAGATTTCACGCACAAATCATTCGATTTTTATTTATATAGTAGATATTTGTATTATAACAATGGTGTGAGGGTTTCATTGCATGATTATATATATATATTGTTAAATATTATCTATATTTTAAGTCAATGAAACATTTGAGAAATTGGAGTAAACTAAAAATAAAAATCTATCGGAACCTAAAGAGGGAATAGAAATGCAAAGTTGAAATAGAAAGTACTTCAATAAGTTTAATTTAAGAGTGAACAAGTGATGGAGAACCTAAAAATATAATATTTGATGGTAACATTGAAATCATTTATCGTCTTTTGCAATAAGCGTTAAGCAAGACCGTGTGGCTTAAAATTTTTGTCTGTGTTTAAACTAGTGCATAATAGTTTAAGTGGTAAATCAAACACACTAATTTTAAAAAATAGCTTACCGTGTTCTGTGTTAAGTACTGAATAGCGATATCAAATAAATGTGTGTTTGATTTTGATTTGGTTGATTAGTGTGTTTGGGCCTTTTAAGCTTGTTCGTAACTTTTTTATTTATTTATATTTTTTTTTTTTGCCCATATCCTAAATTTGAGGACCTTTCAAATTCGAGGTCTAGGGAACTGCCTCGACCGTCTAGGCCCAGGGCTGCCCTACTCTCTCATTGCACTGCACACCACCAATAATTTTCTTTCTCTTTTTCTTTTTAAATTTTTATTATTATCACAGAAGCAATAATTGTCAGCAAATTTTTTCTACAAACTTTGATATGAAACATTTATAGAGATTCAAATGAGCAATGAAAATGTGACTTATGACTCATTTAGCATGCATTTTGTTTTAGGTATTTTGTTTTTGGATAAAATCGAAATAGTATTTTTGTTGTACGAGTGTTTAGGAAAAAAAAATCGAAAGAACGTTTGGGAATAATATTTTGCTGTGGAAATGTCAGAAACAAAAACATACATAATTATAGTTTTGGGCCATGGACAGTTATCAAAATAATTTTTTAATTTTTTGATTTTGGATCACTGTTCACGAAATATATTAATACTGTGTAAAATAAAATAAGGTGACACCAAACATACTATAATTGTTAAAATTAACATTATAATATTTTAAAAATAAAACAGTAAAAATAAAATGCATGCCAAACGCGAGCACAGAGACTTTTAACTTTTATGCCCATCGGGACTCTATAAGTGCAATGGAAGATTCCATGTGAGCATGTATTTGTGCCCACCACATGGCCTACATACACCACATATTTTATTGGCCATTTTTAAGTGTCGGTTGAATCGGTGTCTCGGAATTTTCCTGTTTTTCAATAGACAATAATATTTTATTGTCTATTTTGGAATTTTCCTTACTGTGTTTCAGTGCTGTTGTTATGGTACCATGCATACTTGGACCTATAAATGGCAATCCTAGAAAAGATGAGTTCTTCATAAGCTTTGATTTCAAATTCTTTCACGAGTATGCTATCTACGATATTAATTTCAATATGTTATTAAATTACTATACTTTATATGGCTAATTGTATCAAAATCTTTTGAATTTTAATTCATTTCCTTATAATAATTACAGCATTAATAGTAAATTTGTGAAGGATTAATATTTTATTCAACATAATTATTTAGTCTTGTTTTCGGTTAGTCATTTCTTTTGATTGTTAAAAGGGCAGTTCTTTAGGAAAATATAAAATAAAAATTATTGTATTTTTCTATAAGGCAAGCCAAAGAATTTAGTCAGAGTGCTTTCACTAAATTCCACTTAATAAGGAAAATTCCAAACCCTAATCTAGAATTTCACCTTAATATAGTTTCTCTTGATTATGAAAATTTGCAGATATAAGGAACATACAATGTCTGAGGATTCAAGTGAGGTGGCTGTTGCACAAATGAATCACCTTATCAGGTTTTCTTTAGTTGTCATTTCATTTAACAATCATAAATACTTAATCAAATTTTTCTGTATATAGGTCTAATTATTATATTCGGATGGATTAGTGTAGATTGTCGAAATAAAAGGAAAAGAAATGAAACGATTTGAAAGAAAATATTATTTTTTTATTTGTTAAAAAAAAAAAAAAAGAAGAAAGAGGAGAATTAAAGGATTTGAGAATGATCTTAAAGTAAACCCCTTTTAGAATAATTTTTCAAAAACTCTTAGCCAAACACATTTTTCTATAATTTTTGATGTTAACATCCCCTACTTTTTAGAAAATACTCCTCCTAATTTGTAATATTATTAGTTTGACCCTACACACATACATGTTTTTGCATAAACCCTTTATAATACTCCTTATTTCTTTTCTCATTCTCTCTATAATATTTTTCAAATTCAATTTAAGGTGTTTTTTTTTTATTATTTTTTTATGCAATTTAAGATTAATACCATTTCTCTCTCACAATACGAAAAACGGCCTTAGACCTTCTAATTTTTTTGAATGCAGAGAGGAAGAATACTTGGATGAGACCAAAGCTGGGAAATGGATAACCACTTTGAATGAGGCCACTTTGGACTCGTTTGATCCAATTGAGAGGATTAAAAAAGGGTTTATGCAATTCAAGACCAACGAATTCGAGTATGTTAACAAAAGGGTTATGGCTACTAGAATTAATTATTATTTTTTAATGCTATGACTTTACTTTCGATAAATTGTTTTACTTTTACCTATTGATGTGGATCTGGGTGAGTTTTTCAGCCAAGATCCAAAATATTACAGTCAACTTGCAGAAGCCCAGGACCCCAAGGTAATAATAATTTTATTTATTTATTTATTTATTTTGTCACCATTATTATTATTATTTTTTTTTTTTTTTTTTTTTTTTTTTTTTTTTTTTTTTTTTTTTTTTTTTAAGTGAAGAGCCCCAGTGTTATAACCATTATTATTATTATTTTTTGGAGCCTTGTCAATTCTAATATTCTAAACATCATACCGCCAATATGTGTTTGAAAATTTAAGTACTAAAATTACACTCTTTCAAATTATGCTTTAAAAGTAGATAAGATTAGAGTTCAAATCTCAGGGCTACCTTAATAATTAGAGGTGGAGTGACTTATTCTTTTCTACATCTACATGATTGTTAACAATATGTATTTTTAGTGACTAATTTTTTGAAATTTGGTATAAATTTTTTATGCAGTTTTTAGTGTTTGCATGCTCAGACTCTCGAGTCTGCCCATCTCGAATCCTAAACTTTCGGCCAGGGGAAGCCTTCATGTCCCGAAGCATTGCTAATTTGGTCCCTGAATTTAACCAGGTTTTTCAAACACCCCTTAAACCAGATTATTAAAGATAATTCAACGATATATTTTTTTAGTCCTGCTTGATTTACTTTGCATGGTCTTATTTCACACACTGATAATGTGGAAATGTTTAATATCTACTACACAGGTTAGATATTGTGGAGTTGGTGCAATCATCGAATATGCACTCACGTCTCTTCAGGTCATATTTTATTCATTTTTTAATTTTATTTTCCAAACTCTATTTTCCAAAAAAAAAAAAAAAAAAAAAAAAAGAAAACCATTTTTAGTTTATTTTCACATTTATTCTTGGGGAATGTCCAAGTCTATTAATATATTGAAAAAATTTATAGGTGGAGATTATTCTGGTCATAGGGCACAGTCATTGTGGTGGAATTAAGGGTCTTATGTCTGATGAAACAACCTCTAAGTAAGGCTTGTCACACATTGACGTGGCTTTAAAAATACATATATCTTTCACCATTAAATTGTTGTAACTTTATTCATGTTCAACATTTTTTTAGGCAATAATCTATTGTGATGTGTAGTGACTTCATAAATGACTGGGTCAAAATTGGCTTACCGGCTAAGGCCAAGGTGATATCAGAGTCCGGCGATTTATCATTTGACGACCAATGCCATATTTGTGAAAAGGTAATCTCCCAATTTTGACCTTCTTACCCCCTTTGGCACCCATTTTGTTATACTTTATAGACATTCTCCTTAATGAATATTAATGTTGCGAGTAAGAATATAGAATCAATATTTTGGAGGAAATTTAGTTTACAATTTCAACCAAATTTTTTTAAATTCAAAATCCAAGACGCTCATTCGGTACCCTTAAACATAGTTTGGGTTGATTTGGCTTTTCGTTTTTTTGTTTTCAATTACATTTAAAGAAAATGTAATTTATTTTATTGTGATTGATTTTGAAATAGAAATATGTTTGTTTGCACAATTTATCAATGCCAAAAAATAAAAAGAAAAATGTTTTGATAATTACGTTATACTGATTTTATTTCAAAAAATCTGGCTACGATTTTATTTCAAAAAATCTGGCTACAATTATTTAGCTATGGTAGCCAAAAAAAAAAAAAAAAAATATGTGTGAGCATTATTTTGTTTAGTTCAAAACGTGACAAATGTTACTAAATATGTTTTTGATTAAACAAAAAAAGTAATATTTCTAAGAGGTCTCTCTCATATGAAGAGTCATGAATTCTTCCGATTTAATCACTAGACTGAAGAGTTTTAAGTTAGATTAGTAAATATAGAGTGACACTTCAAAATTCACCGAACGCATTAACTCACTGGGTTATCGAGTCATTTGCAATTGAACAGTTTTTGAGATGTGTAAAAAATCAAATAAATTATATACTACATGCAAGTTAAAAAAAAGGAGAATTCATAGCTCTTCCCATGAGATAGATCTCTTAGGAGGCATTACTTTAAAAAAATATATATCTTATTTATCTATAAACCTTTTTCACACAGCATTCATAAACCCAATTGCACAACTAAATTTCAGAGGAGTTGATGATATTTAATACTAAAAATACAAATTATCTGTAAATGTCAATTATGCAGGAGGCAGTGAATTTGTCATTGGTGAACCTATTAACTTATCCATATGTGAGAGATGGAGTAGCTAACAAAACTCTACAATTGATGGGTGGACATTACGACTTTGACAACGGAACTTTTAGCCTCTGGGGTCTCGACTTCGGCTTCAAACCCACTCTCGACTTCGGCTTCAACTCGCCTCTGGAAATTTGAGTTTTGAACATTATATGTCAAGACATATATATATATATATACATATATATATATATATATATATATATATAGTTTCCTACTTTCTCTCTCTAAATATGTGTGTTGTGTGTTGCTATGAGTGTGTTGCTATGAGCAATAATCCATGTTAAATAAGATAGAGCACCTCTGGTGTGCTTTTACCATATTTTGGTATTTCATTGTAGCTTAAAAGCAACTGTTGTGTATTAACTTCCTTTGGGGATAAGATAATATATAATTAAGTCTTTATGATCATACTGAATTTGAAATACTAGGTTAAGAAGCATAGACATCTAAAAATATATTTATAAAAGAATGTTGATTATACACGAATGGTTATTGGAATTTTCATTCCAATAATTATATTTCTTAAGCACATGCAAGAGATAAGGTCGATGTTTTCCTTATTGAAGAATTAGAATCTAATTAACGTAGGACATTGACAAATTAAAATTCGAATGTGTTTCATTTTCCCTTATTGAAGAATTAGAATCTAATTAACGTAGGACATTGACAAATTAAAATTCGAATGTGTTTCATTTCAGATAAACATCTATACTCAGGTATATAGGAAGGTTCATAGTGTCTATTTTCACTGTTAAGGAACTCAACATTAATGAATATGAAGTTAAAGCACAAGTTTTGTGGCGACCTTGTGGGCAGGTGTGTCGTGAGCTGATGCAAAATACTGGCAGACTACCATATTGGGCGAGTTACGGGTGCACAATTACACATCGTCTGGGTAAGGGAAAGGTAAAGTGCTAATATGTGGTGGTTGTTGGGAAACGTGCAAGTTTTAAAAACTTTTCGAGGAATTTTGATTCATAGATCTTGATTAATCACATAGAGACAAGTTTTATACAAAAATAAAACATGATGTATCATTCAATTAACAGATTGAATACTTACGTCAAAGGTCTGAATAAACCTTTAAATCTTTCCTGTAAAGTGAATGTTCTCACTTATTGTAGATCCCCTAGCAAGATGCCTTCTCCTTGGATCTCCATCTTCTTGGTAATTGTTTTGCCTTTAGGAATCACTCATAAGCCTCCATGAAAGACCTTAGAAAACTAGACTTGTGGGAGCCTCCATTAGATGAGAACATAAACCCTAATATTCTAGAGAGAGAAAATATATTCCTTTTTCCTTCTCATAAAAATCACTCCTAAAATATACATAGACCATGTATGTATATAGGCAACATAAAGATAAAGAAAAGAAACAATAACTCCTTCTCAATCTCTAATTCACATGTCTCAAATCTAATAGGATTCTAATATCAAGTTGGGCTATGAGTGAGAATCCTTTGGGCTTATTATTTTATTGGCTATAATGAATTAATAATTGGCCCGGTCCATGGACCCAGTTCAATTAATTTATAAATTAATTTCTACTCCACTAAAAAAAATTAATTGAACTCTAATTAAATAATAAATAACCTCTAAATCAATGTTGCACTTTGACCCCTTTATACATAATTAATTATCGGATAAATAAAACCATCAATCCGACTACTTAATTAATATATTTATTTTGGTACCTTTGATTATATCTGGCTCAATCACAATAAACATTTGTTTGACAAAAATAATAATTTAAATAAATAAATATATAATAAATCATTTTGTCTAAAAACACACGAAGGCCTTCGAATTTACTTTGTGATCAACCATAATCAATACAAAATAAATACAAGTAGTAATGATGCAAATATTGAAAATATAACCCTCTGACTATTAATTACATAACTACCCAAAATGTCGGTCTAAGGATCCCGAAGTATCCGCCGAACAAATCAAAGTAATTATTAATTAATAAAAAAGTTTATAATTTTCTCATATTTAAGAGTCAAATGCCATGACGGTGATAGGGAGCAATTGCATACGACGGCTCTCGCAATATAGCTCAACCTAACGCAGATCCAATTTAAATCTTAATTAATTATGAGTCCATCCATAATTATCGAATATGAATAATTTATGATTACTATTTATATTCATGTATTGATCGCCATCACATACATATATAAATATCTCTTGTAATCAAGTGGAGACTATCAATTCTATAATGAATCGAAACATAATACATTGAATTCACCAATTGTATAAAGCATAAATATTTTAAAAACGTCAGGAACATATGTCACTATAATCCAAATAGGAATTTGCTATGCCAGGGCATATAAATCCCAACAGCTCCCACTTGCCCTCATAGCTAATTCAAATTGCATCTAACTCCAATGTTATCCAGATGACGATTAAAATTATTGATCAATGATATCTTTGTTAATAGATCAACAAAGTTGTGTTCCAATGCAACGTTCTAGCCACAAGTACATTTTCTTGCCGGAAAATATCATGTAAGACATGGTACTTTCCTCTTAGTGTACCTTGTTCCTCTATGGAACCTTGGGTCATTGGTTTGGACTACTTCTGCACTATTGTCACAATATAGCTCGATAGCTAGGCTAGTATGCTCCACAACCTCTAAATCAGTGAGATCAAACCAAAAGGCTTCCATTGCTGCCTTTAAGGCTACATTGCACTCCACCTTCAGGTTTGAGTCAGCAGTTGAAATCTGTTTAACAATCTACTAACTGATTTCCCCTCCATTGAGTGAACATACACTAAGTCATGAACCTCATAGTATCTACTTCTGATTGGAAAATAGAACTATCATACCTGGCTAAGACCATATCATCATATCCATAAATGAATATGAGATCATTAGTTCTCCTAAGGTACTTAATGATATTTTTCACAACAGACCAGTTATCTAGTCCAGAATTGGACTGATATCTACTGACTATCCCTACTATGTAGCGGATGTCCTGTTTGGTATAGACCATGGCATATATGAGACTCCCATATGCCAAAGCATATAGTTCCAGTCTCATTTGCTCAATCTCCTCTGCTAGTCTTGGAAAACTACTTACTAGAGAGAGCAATCCATATCAATAAAGCAAGAACTCATTCTTTGAGTTATGCATATCAAACCTGGTCAAAATTTTATCAATGTAGGATTATTAAGATAGGCCTATTTTCCTTTTAACCTGATCTTGCAAAAGCTTGATTTTAGGAATATAGCTTACATCTTTAAAATCATTCATTTCAAAATAATTGAACAACTACCTCTTTACTGATGACAAAACTTTCACATCATTTTAAATGAGTAGGATGTCATCAATATATAGAATTAGGAAAAATAATGACATTCCCTTATACACTCGTGATTTAATTACTAAGAAATCCTCTGATATTCTTTTGTAGATTAACTTGCCTTCCATAGGTATCACCCTACTAGAAAGTTCTACAAGATTCCAGATTTTATTAGAATGCATAGATTCCAACTTGGATTTCATAGCATCTCACCAAAACGATTTGTATCCATATCGGTTCACGCTTCCGTGTAGCTTACTTGGTCCAACTCATGTTTAATAGGGATGTTCATAATGGTCTTACCTAAAAACATGATTCTATCGGATTGGATGATAATCCTCCCACTACATCAATGTACCGATGCAGGAATCTGTGTACTAGATGATGTTGACGCATGAATACGGAATTCATCTATAATTCTTAATCTCTATAATAAGTGTGTTCATATATGGTACATCTGGTACTCATACCAAATTCTCTAACACTATGCTACTAGGTATGTGATTCATAATATGTTTCTCCTATAGATAAACAGTGAGTGTAAACAATCAACTTTTATCATTGAGATCATAAAATAATCCGTCCTAGTGACTTTTAGAGTAGCTATCAAATCTATCATGCGTATGATCTATTTCCAACTTACCTGTCCATATCAAGCGCACATGTGCAAGACTACCCCATATATGCATGTGATTCAAACTAAGATTTAGTCAAAAACATAGCTCAACGGTATCCTTGAGACAGACTAAGCTGGAATGCAATTCATACTGTGAATTGATATCGTCAAAGCTAAACTCTAAAATGAAAGAGATAATGTAGCATAATAGATCATAAATCTAACCATGTTAAGCGGAATTCTGTTATTCCTTTTTGACACCTAAATCCATTTAGTGTCAATTGCGAAAAACCTGGTACACCACACCTTCATTGACCATATAGTCTTTGCACTATCCTAAGAAATACTCATATCCACGATCAGATCGGATTGTTTTGATAAGTTTACCTAATCTGTGCTCCACATCAGTCTTGACACTTTCAAAATGTACCAAAAGTTTAAGACTCGTGTCGCATCAGATAAATTTATCCAAAACGTGAGTAAACTTGCTTGGATGTTCATAAGACTACACGTGTCTGTGTGTACCGACTCCAATTGTTCTTTATGTCTATTTCATTTGGCTGATTAAGCCCTTAGAGTTATCTATCCTTCAAAACAATATTCACAGGTTTGGTTTAGGCTCCTCTGCCTCACTAGGTAATAAACCTTCTTTGACCAATCTTTGAATCTCATTTTGACTGATTATAACCCAAAAATAGACACTAAAAATACAATGAGTCAGGAATAACAATTTTTTCTCTTAACATTCAATCTAGAAGATGCAACATTAGTTTCCATATCCTGCAAATCTTAAGAGTTTGTGATTATAGTACATTAACTATCTTTCAATGCACTAGAAGCAATCGCATATCTATTCAATTTTATAAAACCAGTTTTACAAAATAATAATCTAGTTTTTTTATAAACCACAAGTGACATAAGAATTAGACAGCGTCTAACTTCTGTGCATAAAGATAGTTCTCTAATACTAATATCCTCGTACTCTCTTATTTCAGATGTAATACTCCCACTGACTTAGCTACAACCTCGACATCAGGTCAAAAGACAAATATCTATCCATATCATTGAGGCTTCTGGATTCCTGAAATCCTTGCAACAAATTGCAAACATGTTTAGTGGCTCCAGAATCTATCCATCAAGAATTAATAGATACAATCACATAACATGGCTCAATGATTAAATATACATTTTCCTATGCCACGTCATTG